TGTCTCTTTAAAAAAAAAAAAAAAGGCTGGATGCAGTGGCTTATGCCTGTAATCCCTGTACTTTGGGAGGCCAAGGCAGGTGGATCACTTGAGGTCAGGAGTTCAAGACCAGCCTGGCCAACATGGTGAAACCTTGTCTCTATTAAAAAAATACAAAAATTGGCCGTGTGCGGTGGCTCACACCTGTAATCCCAGCACTTTGGGAGGCCGAGGTGGGTGGATCACAGGTCAGGAGTTTGAGACCAGCCTGACCAATATGGTGAAATCCCATCTCTATTTAAAAACAAAAAACAAACAAAAAAATTAGCTGAGCATGGCGACACATGCCTGTAATCCCAGCTACTCAGGAAGGTGAGGCAGGAGCATTGCTTGAACCCAGGAGGCAGAGGTTGTAGTGAGTTGAGATCAAGCCATTGTGCTCCAGCCTGGGCAACAAAGGTGAAGCCCTGTCTTAACAACAACAACAAAGGCCAGGCGAGATGGCTCATGCCTGTAATCCCAGCACCTTGGGAGGCTGAGCGAGGAGGATCACGAGGTCAGGAGACTGAGAGCATCTTGTCCAACATGGTGAAATCTCGTCCCCACTAAAATACAAAAAAAATTAGCCAGGTGTGGTGGCATGCACCTGTAGTCCCAGCTACTCGGGAGGCTGAGGCAGGGGGAATCTCTTGAACCCAGGAGGCAGAGGTGGCAATGAGCTGAGATTGTGCCACTGCATTCCAAACTGGTGAAAGAGCAAGACTACGTCCCAAGGAAAAAAAAAAAAGGTAAGAGCATTTACTTCAAGAAGTTATAGTGGGGAATACATGAGTTAATATACATAAAGCAGTAAAACCAATGATGGCACAGAGTACCTGTTCAATAAATGTTATTATTCTCATTTCAACTGGAACATGAAAAACAAGCAGGAGTAACCCAGGGGGAAGGGAAAGGGGGAAAAATTCTATACAGAGGGCAGCAGGTGCACAAGCCTAGAGGAAGAACTGCCTGGCCCACAGAACTGAAAGATTAGTCTCTCTCTTTTTTTTTTTTTAAGAGATGAGGTTTCACCATCTTGGCCAGGCTGGTCTTGAACTCCTGACCTTGTGATCCACCCATCTCAGCCTCCCAAAGTGCTGGGATTACATGCATGAGCCACCAAGCCTGGCCTAGATTAGTTTCTTAGTATAGAAAACTCAGTGGAAAGAGCTACCATACAGTAAGGTTGGCGAGGCAGGCTGAGGTCAGTACTGAAAGGAGACTGAATTTGATCCTAGGAGTCTGAGGAAACCTGAAAGGTTTTTTTGTTTGTTTGGTTTGAGACAGAGTTTTGCTCTTGCTGTCCAGGCTGGAGTGCAGTGGCACTACCTTGGCTTACTGTAATCTCTGCCTCCCTGGCACAAGCGATTCTCCTGTCTCAGCCTCCCAAGCAGCCAGGATTACAGGCATGTGCCACCATACCCGGCTAATTGTTTTGTATTTTTAGTAGAGACGGAGTTTCATCATGTTGGCCAGGCTGGTCTTGAACTCCTGACCTCAGTTGATCCACGTGCTTCAGCCTCCCATAGTGCAGGGGTTATAGGCATGAGCCACCATGCCTGGACAAAAGGTTTTATAAAGAGAGGTGACAGGCCAGGCGCGGTGGCTCACGCCTATAATCCCAGCACTTTGGGAGGCCGAGGCGGGTGGATCACAAGGTCAAGAGATGGAGACCATCCTGTTCAACATGGTGAAACCCCGTCTCTACTAAAAATACAAAAATTAGCTGGGCATGGTGGTGCCTGCCTTTAGTCCCAGCTACTCGGGAGGCTGAGGCAGGAGAACTGCTTGAACCCAGGAGGTGGAGGTTGTAGTGAGCGGATATCGTGCCATTGCACTCCAGCCTGGGTAACAGCAGCAAAACTTCATCTCAGAAAAAAAAAAGAGGTCGGGCGCAGTGGCTCACACCTGTAATCAGCACTTTGGGAGGCCAAGCCTGGTGAATCACGAGGTCAAGAGATAGAGACCATCCTGGTCAACATGGTGAAACCCCGTCTCTACTAAAAATACAAAAAAAATATTAGCTGGGCACGGCGGTGTGTGCATGTAATCCCAGCTACTCAGGAGGCTGAGGCAGGAGAATTGCCTGAACCCAGGAGGCAGAGGTTGTGCTGAGCCAACAACACGCCATTGCACTCCACCCTGGGTAACGAGCGAAACTCCGTCTCAAAAAAAAAAAGGGGGGGGAGGTAACAAGCTTAGATTTGCAATTTTAAAAGCTCTCTCTGGCTACATACAACATGGAGAACTGGTTGGAGGGAAGACAAAACACATGGCAGGGAAACCAGTAAGGGGGCTGCTGTAGAAGTCAGGACCAGAGACTTGCAGCTTAGGGTAGGATAGTGGCAGAGAAGACAGAAGGAAGCTGGCTGATTGAAGAACAGCTAGATGGTAGAACCAAAAAGACACGTACATGGTGTGTGTGTGTGTGTGTGTGTGTGTGCGCGCGCACGCGCGCGTGTGTGTGTGTGTGTGAAGGGGTGCAATGGAGAAAGAGGTAGGGGTATGTGTGTGTGTGCGTGCATGTGTGAAGGGGTGCAATGGAGAAAGAGGGGTGTGTGTCTGTGTGTGTGAAGGGGTGCAATGGAGAAACAGGTAGGGGTGTGTGTGTGTGTGAAGGGGTACAATGGAGAAAGAGGCCTAAACACTAAATAAATATCTGAGGAAAGGGCTGAGAGCAGTGGCTCATGTCTATAATCCCAACACTTTGGGAGATCAAGGCAGGTGGATTGCTTAAGTCCAGAAGTTCAAGACCAGTCTGGCTAACAGGGCAAAACCCTATCTCTACTAAAAATACAAAAATTAGCTGGGCATGGTGGTGTGTGTCTGTAATCCTAGCTACTCAGGAGGCTGAGGTGAGAGGATCACTTGAGCCCTGGAGGTCAAGACTGCAGTGAACCATGATGTCACTACTGTACTCTAGCCTGGGCAACACAGCAAGACCCTGTTTCAAAAAGAAAATAAATAAATAAATAAAAAAGTCTGAGGAATGACATGTGTTCCTGCCACATTCTTTTACTGCATGAAATGCCTTCCCCTCTACTCCATCCTTCCGGACACAATTCCTTCCTATTTTCTCCACAAAACTCTGATTTTCTCTCCTTTCTAAGAGAGTTCTGGAATTTTAGAACTGAACATGCTTGAGTAGTTGACATGACTCACAAACTACCTGAATATGGCCAGGCACAGTGGCTCACACCTGTGATCCCAGAACTTTGGGAGGTTGAGCTGGGTAGATAACCTGAGTTCAGGAGTTCAAGACCAGCCTACCCAACGTGGTGAAACCCCGTCTCTACTAGAAATACAAAAATTAGCCGGGTGTGGTTGCAGGCACCTGTCATCCAGCTACTTGGGAGGCTGAGGCAGGAGAATTACTTGAATCTGGGAGATGGAGGTTGCAGTAAACTGAGATTGAGCCATGAACTCCACTCTGGGCGACAGAGTGACACTCTGTCTCAAAACAGAACAAAACTACCTAAATATGGAGACCATGTCTTAGTCAACTTTCTTTTCTTTCTCTTTCTTTCTTTCTTTTTTTTTTTTTTTTTTTGAGACGAAATCTCACTCTGTTGCCTAGGTTGGAGTGCAGTGGTGCGATCTCGGTTCACCACAACCTCCGCCTCCCAGGTTAAAGCGATTCTCCTGCCTCAGCCTCCTGATTAGATGAGATTACAGGCACCTGCCACCATGCCCACCTAATTTTTGTATTTTTAGCAGAGACGAGGTTTCACCATGATGTCCAGGCTGGTCTCGAACTCCTGACCTCAGGTGATCCACACACTCATCCTCCCAAAGTGCTAGGATTAAAGGTTTGAGTGGCCTTGGCCAGCCGTCTTAGTCAACTTTTTATCCTATCCACCCCATCTACCCAACACTTGTGAAGATCCAGATCCATGTTTTAAAACTTTTCCTGACTGCATGAGTGGTACAGTCTTTAATAACCTGTGCTAATATAAAGCTCTGTGACCCATAAGGCATTATACAGATGTGGGAGCTTTCACAGATGTTTTCTCTTTGGATCCTCACAGAATTCTTATAAAATAGGTACTATTATAAGGGAAATAAATTCAGAACTAAAGTAACATATCCAAGGTAACATTCACGAAAAGAAATGGCAGTGCAAAGATTGAACCTACATCCAGGGCACCCACCTGGGATGCTCTACCACCCTCCATGAAGATTGAATATTTATATATATCCAGGAGGACTGCTAACTCTTGGAGGCAGTTGAGTACCACTTCTGAGAATCCTTCTTAGTTTCGAGTATTTATTCAAAAATGTTTATGGAGCACCTACTATGTGCTAACTATGCCAGTGTTGGAGATGCAGCAACGAGTAAGGCAGAGAAGATGCTTACCCTCATTCTAGTTCAGGGAGCCATCAAACAAGGACACAAATATATAAACACTATAAGTGACAGATGCTATAAACAAAATACAAGGCCGGGCGCGGTGGCTCACGCCTGTAATCCCAGCACTTTGAGAGGCCGAGGCAGATGGATCACAAAGTCAGGATATTAAGACAATCCTGGCCAACATGGTGAAATCCCCTCTGTACTAAAATACAAAAAATTCGCCGCGTGTCGTGGCACACACCTGTAGTCCCAGCTCCTGGGGAGGCTGAGGCAGGAGAATCGCTTGAACCTGGGAGGCGGAGGTTGCAGTGAATCGAGATCGCGCCGCTGCACTCGAGTCTCGGCGACAGAGCGAGATCCTGTCCCAAAAAAGAAAAAAAAAAGAGAGGGAGTAACATTAGAATAAGTGTGAAGTGTGTCCTTTTTTGCTGGCACTACTTCAGATAGGGTGGTCAGAGAAATCCTCTCAGAAAAGTAACATTTGAGACAGAGCTTGGTCTTCGGTAGGCTCTTAACGAAAACCATTTTCCCACAAACTTAGTTCTGGAAACGACCAAGAAAGGAAAAAGTGTACTTAGTCTGCACAAGGGCCGCTCCCAGGCCTCCAACATTCGTTGCCAGACTGTGACTGGAAAGTGGACAGTTCCCGGCCTATCCACGCCGCCACCATTAGAGGACGCCGCGGGTCCTCCCAGTCCCCAGGAGGCGCCATGGCCCCCGGAACTGCCAAACTGACATCTGGTACCTAACAGTCGAGGCCCCGACGCCCCGCGTCCAGGAAGAGGGCAAGGGCGGAGCTGGGAAGCCATGAGGCCCTAGGGAATCGCGGAGGGTCACTGGGCCCCTCAAGGAGAGGGCGTCCTCGGCATCGCAAACCCACACCAGTGGCATAAGAACTTGCTCCCTCAGGGACAGCCTGTTTCCGGCGCCTTTAAACCAGGAAGTACTGCTGTGTCCAATCCTGGCCCTCCTTTCGCACTTAGTCTTTGAGTCCTTCCTCTCCTGGCTTGTGCTGGAGCCAAGGAGGCTAAGGCTACCAATCAGCGCTCAGAAAAGGCGCATGCGTCTTCGAACGAACACCGCAGACGGTTAACTTTGACCCAAAAGCAACCTCCCCTCTCCCCCTTCTCTCGCTGTCAAGATGGCGCTCTCCAGGGTGTGCTGGGCTCGGGCTGCTGTGTGGGGTTCAGCAGTCACCCCTGGACATTTTGTCACCTGGAGGCTGCAACTTGGTCGCTCTGGCCTGGCTTGGAGGGGCCCTCGGTGAGGGACCTGTAGCGAGAAAAGCATTTTTGACGTCCAGGCTCTCAGTGTCTGAACCTTGCTTGCATTCTCTCTTAATTCTCAAGAGTTCCACGCCTTGGCCCTGGAATTTTTATTCTTCTGCTCAGGATTCAAACTGCGATCCCCAGCCATAGTGATGTGGCTTCCTGGCCCTCTCTACTCTCAGTGCCCCCATATTGTCTGGTCTCCCCGTGTCTCCTGAGCTCATCTTTCAGCCTCACTTTTTCGGCTCAGGTTTTGCCGCTATCTCGATTCCACCTCTCTCTGACTTAGCCTGCAGTTCAAATTGTCCCACAGGCATTGCGCTCTCTCCAGAGTCATACCCTGAGTTCCTTTCCTGCCTGGCCTTTGCTTGATCTTTGTTTCTCAGTCTGATTGCCTATCTCTGCTTGACCCCAAGATCTTCCTTGGATTTCAGAAGTGTCAAGCCTTGGCATACATTCTCCGAGACTCCTGCTTTACGTTAGGGACTCAAGGCGTGAGGGAGCTTCTAGGACCGGTTCCCAGATAGTCTCTTTGATCTTCCTTGTAGGTCTTCAAAGCTTCACCTTTCTCCAAAGGCAGATGTGAAGAACTTGATGTCTTATGTGGTGACCAAGACAAAAGCGATTAATGGGAAATACCATCGTTTCTTGGGTCGTCATTTCCCCCGCTTCTATGTCCTGTACACCATCTTCACGAAAGGTAAAAACGGAACTATAAGAGAAATTCCTGAATCAGCTCTTGGGCAGGATCAGAGAGTTCGAATAAATAAGATCATTTGCAGGTTCTGCTATGGGGATGTGAGCCAAGATATCTTATATTTCATAAATGCTTGTGCCTTAAACTAATTCTTATAAATTAGCACTTCTTGAGAATGTTTCTAGAAAGATGTTACGAGAAACAACTTATGACAGCAGCACGATGGGGGAGGGAGAATATAGGTATGTTCTTGGACTTTTCTTAACCACACACCTGGCTATAGTAGAAATCTTTTTGTCCAGCGCAGGGCAGGGATCTATGGCTGTACAGACCTGCCCTGTGATTGATTTCCTGTGACCCATAGGAAAATGAGGTCTAACCCTTGTTACAAATCTATGTTAGGTAGCATGTTGTAGTGGAAATAGCACTGCATAATACTTGGTTTCTAGATGTTTGGTTTCAAATCAGAGATCCTTAGTTACTAGGAGATGATATGTGTAGTGCCAGGTGTCTACTCTGGAACCAGATTGCCTGAATCAAATCCCAGCTCATCACTGTGTGATTGGACTAATTAACTAACCTCTCTGTTTTTTGTTTTTTTAATCTGTAAAATGAGAGTTATAGAACCTACCTATTTATCACATGGTTGTGAAGATAAAAAAATCGATATATGTAAAGTACACAGAACAGGTCCTGATCCTTAGTAAGTGCCAAATAAATGTTAGTTATTGTTATCTAAATGTTAGATAACAATATTGTAGGTTGGTACAGAAGTAATTGGGGCTTTTGTCTTTCAATGGCAAAAACTGAAATTGCTTTTGCACCAATCTATAATATGCTCTATGTTTTGTTTTGTTTTGTTTTAAAGATGGGGTTTCATCATGATGGCCCACCTTGGCCTCCCAAAGTGCTAGGATTATAGGCGTGAGCCACCGCGCCTGGCCAATATGCTCTATGTTTTTATCATAACACTGTACTAAACTTCACTGTCAACTCTGAACATTATCTTATTACTAGCTTCATGGACTTGAAAACTTACTTATCCTTAATCTGTAAAGTGGAGATAAAATTGGCTGCTTTTTCTGTTCTCATGTACATAAATAGGATCGAATGAGAGAAAGACATGAAAGCATTTGTTTGTTTTTAAACCTTGTATTATGGAATTTTTAAACATACGCAAAGGTAGAGAGAATAGTGTAACAAAGTTCCATGTATTCACCTCACTTCATTATCGTAACTCATGGCTGCCAATCTTCGTTTATATACTTGCCTTATGTATTATTTTTAAGACAATTGAGACATCATATAATGACATGGAAATCATTGATAAATATGAAAGCCTTAAAAATAGATGCAAGAATTTTCATAGAATGAAGATTTAAAATATAGAAATATATTCAATTAGATTATTTATTTATTTAAGACGCATTTTCGCCATGTTGGTCAGGCTGGTCTTGAACCCCTGACCTCAGGTGATCCGCCCACCTTGGCCTCCAAAGTGCTTGGATTACAGGCGTGAGCCACCACACCTGACCGCAATTAGATTACTTTAAAAAGTGTTCCTAACTGAGCATGGTGGCTGACGCCTGTAATCCCAGCACTTTGGCAGGCTGAGGTGGGTGGATCATGAGGTCAGGAATTTGAGATCAGCCTGGCCATCACCGTGAAACCCCATCTCTACTAAAAGTATAAAAATTAGCTGGGCGTGATGGCCAATGCCTATAGTCCCAGCTACTCAGGAGGCTGAGGCCGGAGAATGGCTTGAACCTGGGAGGCAGAGGTTGCAGTGAGCCAAGATAGCATCACTACACTCCAGCCTTAGTGACGGAGCAAGACTCCATCTCAAAAAACAAAAAAAGTGTTCCAGGTTGGGCGCAGGGGCTCATACCTGTAATTCTAGCACTTTGGGAGGCTGAGGCGGATGGATTGCTTGAGGTAAGGAGTTTGAGACCAGCCTGACCACATGGTGAAACCTGCCTTTACTAAAAATAAAAAATTAGCCAGGCTTGGTGGCACATGCCTGTAATCCCGGCTTCTTAAGAGGCTGAGGCAAAAGAATTGCATAAACCTGGGAGGTGGAGGTTGCAGTGGGGCAAAATCACACCACTGCACTCCAGCCTGGGTGACAGTGAGACTTTATCTCAAAAAAAAGAAAAGAAAGTTCCAGAAAGGAGATAAACTAATATCTGGCTGTGGAATACAAAGGGTTAATTTAGCAAGACTCTGAGGTTAGGGAGCTTGGTTGGTTTTTTTTTTTTTCCTTTTTTTTGAGACAGAGTCTTGCTCTGTCGCCAGGCACCAGGCTAGAGTGCAGTGGCGCTGTCTCGGCTCACTGCAACCTCCGCCTCCCAGGTTCAAGCAATTCTTCTACCTCGGCCTCCCGGGTAGCTGAGACTACAGGCATGCGACACCATGCCCAGCTAATTTTTTTTTGTATTTTTAGTAGAGACAGGGTTTCACCGTGTTGGCCGGGATGGTCTCAATCTCTTGACCTCATGATCCACCTGCCTCGGCCTCCTAAAGTGCTGCGATTATAGGCTTGAGAGACTGCGCCCGGCCAGCGCTTGGTTTTTAAAAAGGACTGAGCAATGAACTGGAAGACGGAAACCATTCTATAGCAGATTACAGAAGCCCAACTTAGCCAGAAGAGAGGCGATGAGCTAGGGGAAAAAGATTTTGAAAAGAGATTTGGGTTAATCTCAAGAGTTTCAAGTAACCTAGTTTCTATTGTTGGGGAGGGGCAAGAGTGTTTGCATGTGATTGAACATGGAGTAGGAAGCTGTGGTTGAGATTCAAACTGGGATAACATTGCACTCTGTCCTCTACTTTAATGAGGCAGGATTTCGGATGTTATGGGCTGATGCCAAAAAGGCTAGAAGAATAAAGACAAATATGTGGAATCACAATATAGAGTTTCATCAACTTCCATACCGGGAGATGGAGCATTTGAGACAGGTATGGGCCAGGGGCAGATATCCAGAAGTTCATGGTGAGGTAATTACATTTAATCAAGATCTCAAGGTTTTTTTCTTTCCTTTGTTCATGATTGATCAAACTTTTGCCCTTTGCCATAGAACCAAATATTGAACTGAATGAGGCATCAGATTAATTGTAATAATTGGGTTCATTCAGAGTTGTAGCCTTCCATAGCAAGAGCTCCATAGAATTTCTGGCACATTTGATGAACAAAAGTTGTAAACACTAAAATCCAATTAGTTTCTGAATATATGAGTCTGCAAGAGTGGCTGGGCATGGTGGCTCATGCCTGTAATCCCAGCACTTTGGAAGGCCGAAGTGGGCGGATCACCTGAGGTCAGGAATTTGAGACCAGCCTGGCCGACATGTTGAAACCCCGTCTCTACTAAAAATACGAAAATTAGCTGAGCATGGTGGCAGGTGCCTGTAATCCCAGCTATTCGGAAGGATGAGGCAGGAGAATTGCTTGAACCCAGGAGGTGGAGGTTGCAGTGAGCAAAGATTGTGCCATTGCACTCCAGCCTGGGCAACAAGAATGAAACTCTGTATAAGGAAAAAAAAAAAAAAAAAAAAGTCTGCAAGGATTCAAAGCGCATCACAAAAATAGTATTTGGTGGTAACTTGATGGGTAGTTTTGAAACTGAGAGTAAGAATCTAGGACCCATTCTGCAGATCAGGAAGAGTTCACTGAAAGATTTGATATAATGTCAGGCTCTGTACTGGCCATTATTTGGGATACAGAAGTAACCAAATCAGAGGTTCTCTCCTTAAGGAACTAACCATTCAGAAGTAGTTACAAATAATCTTGGGGACCATATGGGGTGACTCATGATTATAATCCCAGCACTTTGAGACGCCGAGGTGGGCAGATCACTTGAGGTCAGGAGATTGATACCAGCTTGTTCAACATGGCAGAACCCCATCTCTACTAAAAATACAAAAATTAGCCTGGTGTGTTGGTGCACACCTGTAATCCCAGCTACCTGGGTGGCTGAGGCAGGGGGATCACTTGAACCCAGGAGGTGGAGGTTGCAGTGAGCCAGGATCACACCACGGCACTCCAGCCTAGTGACAGAACAAGACTCTGTCTCAAAAAATAAAAAAGAAAGAAATGTGGTCCTTGTTCTGGGCTGTAATGGAAATTGACTGTATAGTGCGGGGGAGGGATTGTCTATTGTATTAATAACTTACGTGGGTTAAAACTGCATCTGTGTTTATTTCTGTTTAGTTCCGCCAAGACGTCACCAAGTGTCTTTTCCTAGGTATTATTTCCATTCCACTTTTTGTTAACTACCTGGTCTTCTTACTAATGTGAGTACAGACTTCCGTCTCCCCAGCATCTTGAAGATGTATAAATTTTTTTAAATTAAGAATTATTTTAAGCAGAACTTTTCATTTCAGAAGCTAGTCAGAGGTTATCAAACTTCTCCAGTCTTCTCATTATCCCAAGGTTCATAAAAGCCACTCAGGAAGACCTTGGTTACTGGGATACATCACAGCTAGAGGTACAGGTACAGGTGGCCTAGACTCTCCCTATCTCTTAGCTGCCCTGAGTGATGTGAAATAAGATAATGTCCTTCTCCATCATCCATAGAGGCAGCAACTCACTCCCCGAGAGAGCAATTTTGGACTGATTTCTATAGAAAAAAAGTGCACTTCATATTCTGATAACATGTTCTTATTACTTCATAACCAAAAATGACATTTCTAAACTGTGATCTTGCATGTCATTAATTATCTATTGCTGTATAACAAATAACCTCAAAGCTTACTAGCATAAAACAGTAGTATAAATCATTTTCATGATTTTGTAGGTATAGAATTAGGGCAATGCTAAGGTGAGTGGTTGATTTCTCTCTTCCATGTAGTGTTAACAGAGGTTCCTTAGTGATATTTAGCTGCTGAATGGACTAGTCTGGAAGATCCAAAGTCACTCTTAGGTCTGGTGCCCTGGCAGGGATGGCTACATGGCTAGAACTGTGAACCAGAGTGCCCACATGTGGCATCTTCAGTATGGCAGCCTCAGGATAGTGGGACTTCTTACATGGCAGTTCAGGGCTCCAAGATTGAGGGTTCTAGTGCATAAGAATCTACGTGACTCTTATAACCTTGTCTTGGAGGTCACATAGACTCACTGCTGCTCTGTTCTGTTGACTGAATCAGTCACCTAGATTGAAAAAGGAAGGATGTAGACCTCATCCCTCCATAAGAGGAGTGCCAGAGAATTTGTGCTCATGTTTTAAAACCACCAAACATGTAAATAAATGAAATAAAAAACAAATTGTGGCTGGACGTGGTGGCTCACGCCTGTAATCCCAGCACTTTGGGAGGCCAAGGCAAATGGATCACAAGGTCAGGAGATCGGGACCAGCCTGGCTAACATGGTGAAACCTTATCTCTACCAAAAATACAAAAAATTAGCCAGGTGTGGTGGCACCTGCCTGTAATCCCTGCTACTCCGGAGGCTGAGGCAGTAGAATCACTTCAACCCAAGAGGCGGAGGTTGCAGTGAACTGAGATCACACCACTGCACTGCAGCCTGGGTGACAGAGCGAGACTCTGTCTCAAAAACAAACAAATTGATTGCCTTTTATATACTGTGTTTACATAGGTCTGTGCTATAGTTAGATTGTCAGCATCACATATAGTGTCCAGGTCAGTCTGCAACTCTGTCCAAAGCATGTTCTTCATATGCTTTAGTTCAAAAGGAGTCATTATAGCTGATTGCTGCTGCCAAGCTATTCTACTCGTCCTTTCTTTCTCATCACGTTTCAGTAATGTTGCTTGAAATTGTGCTTCAGTGTGTCTTATAAACTTTCGTCTGAGAGTCACTTAAGAAAAAGGGCTGACTGTGGTGGCTTTCACTAGTAATCCCAGAACTTTGGGAGACCGAGGCAGGAAGATTGCTTAAGGCCAGAACTTTGAGACCACCCTGGGCAATATAGCCAGACCTGGGTATGGTGGCCTGTGCCTGTAGTCCCAGCTACTCAGTAGGCTGTGGTGGGAGGATTGCTTGAGCCTAGGAGGTTGAAGCGGCAGTGAGCTGTCATCATGCCACTGCACTCCAGTCTGGGTGACACAAGGGACCCTGTCTCTTGAAAAAAAATTAAAAAAGAAAAGGAACACTGGGGTAGGAAATAGTGTCTTATCTCTTCTTCCTAGTATTCATGTCTACCAAATGCTTTCTTTGGCTTCCTCTGAAAGAAGCCAGTTTCAGCAAGTGAGTGTGTGATTCTTTTTCCTTTCAGGTACCTGTTTCCCAGACAACTACTGATGAGGCATTTCTGGACCCCAAAACAACAAACTGATTTCTTAAATATCTATCATGCTTTCCGGAAGGAGTTCCACCCAGAAATCATTAATTATTTAGAAAAGGTCATCCCTCTCATTTCTGATGCAGGACTCCGGTGGCATCTGACAGATCTGTGCACCAAGGTATTCCTGCAGTTCACCCTTCCTACAAACGTGGAATCTTGTTAGATCAGTGTACACTAAAACTAGGTAAGAGGGGTAGTCAGAACTTTCCTAATAGCTACCGATCTCTTACCTCTTCCAAGATACAGCGTGCCACCCACCCAGCAATACGTGATATCTTGGCTCTGAGAGAGTGTTTCTCTAACCATCCTCTGGGTATGAACCAGCTCCAGCCTTTTCACGTGGTGAGCACTTTGAGGCCTTGTCTTTTCCATAGCCTCACTGTGTTTCAGATCTTTGCTTGAGCTCATTCTATTTGCCTTTCCCCTCCTATGTGGTTGTGTTACAGAAAGCCTTGAGCCGAGCCATGCTTCTCACACCTTACCTGCCTCCTCCCTTGTTAAGCATCGTTTGAAGACTCATACAACTGTGATTCACCAACTGGACCGGGCTTTGGCAAAGCTGGGGATTGGCCAGCTGACTGCTGAGGAAATAAAATCGGTAAGAGCTTGACATCAACCCTCAACTGTAATTGTAAACAACTTTTTGGGTGAAATTTTGCTATAGAGGGAAGCAGGGGATATAGAGGCAATTGAAGACTTTCCAAAGGTGGGAGAAACCAGATGTATTATCTGTTGCTGCATAACAAATTATCCCAAAATGCAGCGGCTTAAAGCAACAAAAATTTATCTTACATTTTCTGTGGGTCAGAACTTTTGAGTGTAGTTTCACAGGGTATCTCTGACTTTGTCTCTCATGAGGTTGCAGTTAGGGTGTCAGCCAGAACTGTGGTCTCATCTCAAGGTGTGATCAGGGAACATCTGCCTCTAAGCAGATCATGCGGTGTTGCATGACTCAGCTCTTAGTGGCTGTTCAACTGAGGACTTCAGTTCCTCAATGGCTCTTGCTGGCAGCCTTTCCACAGGGCCACAGGGCAGCTTATAACATGGCAACAGCTTTACGTCAGAGCAACAGGGCTGGAGAGAGTGCTTAGGACAGAAATCACTATCTTTTTATAACCCAGTCTTTAGCATGGTAGCTCGTTACCTCTAGTAACTCTGTTTACTAGAAGTGAGTCATGAAATCCAGCCGACACTGAAGGAGAGGGAACTGACTAAGGATGTGAATACAGGAGACAGGGTTCATTGGCGGGTATTTTGGAGGCTGCCTGCTCCAGAGGGTATTTGTCTATGTTTACAAAGGCATACACAATCTGATTACATTTCTCACACACAGAAACACACACACCCCAACTATGTTTCCTCCACTTTCTAATATCACCTTCCACTAAACTATCTAGGGAAAAGGACTTTGTTTCTTGTTAGCCCATAGAGATCAGCTCATGCTGCAGCTTGTGTCTCCAATATCACGTCCTCCACCCTCCCGATTCTGGCACAGCTCTGAGCCTCCGCTCGCTTTCCCACATGCCACCATGAGTAAGTCCCAAACTAATGTGCTCCTTTTTTCTAATGCTGCCAACCGCACCAGCCTCAGAAGATGGTATGAGCAAGGCGGCTGTCCTTTTACTGACCTCTACATTAATTCTCCACCACCTCACCAACTTCCCACAGCCCACATGGTCTTATTACTGAAGGTGTTGGGGTAACAAAGGCCAAGTTCAGTAGAGGTCAAGATAGGAGTGACAGAACAATTTAAAGCTGAACATTAGGCATCACTCTTAAAACTCTTGGGTTATGTTAGAGAAAACTTACTCAGTGATACTCATTACAGCAAGGCAGACTTTATTCAGGACCATGGGATAGGGACAGGGACCACGGCAATGGGATTTTGTAGTGGGTAGAGGGACTGGGCTAAAATCCAAACACAGCAAGGGCAAGAGAGAATTTGCAGCCAAGGAGCAGGGTAAGGGTGTCAGTGGACTGAAAATTACTAAGAGGTGGCATCAGGAGTAATGGGATTCTGGCTAACCGACCTAACAGGATTCTTGCTGGACAGGTGATCAGACATCACCTGGGGTACAGTGGTGGATGAGGAACCCTATCAGACCTTGAGAGTGAGGAGATTCCTTTCTCTCTCTCTTTCTCTCTTTTTCCCCTCCCCTCTCTCTCTCCCCCTTTCTCTCTCTCTCTCTCCTCTTATTTCTTTCCGTCTTTTCTTTCTCTTTCCTTTCTTTTCTTTTTCTTTCTTTCTTTTTGAGACAATTTCGCTCTTGTTGCCCAAGGTGGAGTGCAATGATGCAATCTTGGTTAATTGCAACCTCTGCCTCCCGGGTTCAAGCGCTTCTCCTGCCTCAGCCTCCCAAGTAGCTGGGACTACAGGCATGTACCACACCACACCCGGCTAATTTTATATTTTTAGTAGAGAGGGGTTTCTCCGTGTGGGTCAGGCTGGTCTCGAACTCCAAACCTCAGGTGATCCACCTACCTCGGCCTCCCAAAGTGCTGTGACTACAGGCGTGAGCCGCTGCGCCGGGCCCAGATGGGTTCTTTCTAAACTGACCTGCTCCCCGCTCTTTACCCACACCCACTGCCTGCACTCGTGCTCCCCCCACTCGCCCCCAGGACGTGCACCCCACGTGCCCAGGGCAGGTGGGAAGTACCTGCGGCCATCTTGCTCACCAACCTCCAAAATGCGGCTGGGGCTCCTGAGTGCAGCGCTATTGTTTGTGGGGAGCTCTCACTTATACTCAAACCCCGACTCGCCCTCCGGGAAGCCCAGTCTCGGCCCCTCGGTGGAACCGGCCGCTGGTTCCCAGCAGGCTGAAGCCTCCCGCGAGAGGCCCTGGCAGCGGAGGGAAGGAGGGGCGCACACAAAGGGCAGTACCTGTTCGCGCCAGTCTCTGGGCGGCATCTCTTGCCTTTCCCCACCGCTACAGTCTTTGAATTTGGGTTCCTCCTTTTCTGTTGTCCCAACTGCCTTTAACCAAAATTTTACATACCTAAACCGTTTCTAGACCCGTTATAACAGTAGTCATAACAGTAAAAGGGCACATTTGTATTGTGAATCTGTATTTTCTCCTCAAAACATTCTGGGGTTTATCACCCCCATTTTATAGATTAATAAGTCACGGGATAAAGAGTTGAAAGGGAGGGCTATTAGGTGACCATTTCATGCTACAGGAGAGAAAAATTAGCCCAGCAAGTGAAACGGTGAGCATTAGAATTTGCAGCTCTCGACTCACCGTTCCCAGGCTCTTTAACTGCTGATTCACACAAGGAAGAATGTGATACGTGGCCAGAAAAATTTATGTTTTTGGGGACTAGAGTTTTAAAATCAATGAACTGTGTTGACTTCGTGTCTGTTTCTAAGTATGGCATATTTATTTGTCTTGACCCTCCAAGTTTCTTTCAAAATATGGGCATGCCTCTGGTTTGTTAGCTTGCTTAATGTTTTTTTAGATAGGAATTTAAAGGATTACGTTAATATGTTCATCTTAGGAAGTAACATATAATATAGATGCTCAGTCCAAATAACGTATCATTTTTATTTTTAGACTGTGGAACGGCACCACTTAAGGATGCACTGCAAGGGTCTCAGATTATAGGGGGCACAGAAGCTCAAGCTGGCACATGGCCTTGGGTGGTGAGCCTGCAGGTGAAACATGGCCACGTTCTTTCTCATGTATGTGGGGGAACCCTAGTGAGAGAGAGGTGGGTCCTCACAGCTGCCCACTGCACTAAAGACGCTAGGTACGTATTCAGAACACAACCATTTTATTCTCTTAGGGGACAGTTTGAAGTGATAGAGGACCATTTAATTTCAGCTATTCTCAGTTAAGCTATGTTTGCAAATAGCTATAATGCCTTGTACATAGTACATTGTATTTGTTGAAAGAAATCCTTTATTTTTTACTTTTTTTTTTTTTTTTTTTTGAGACGGAGTTTCGCTCTTGCTACCCAGGCTGGAGTGCACTGGCACGATCTCAGCTCACCACAACCTCTGCCTCCTGGGTTCAGGCAATTCTCCTGCCTCAGCTTCCTGAGTAGCTGGGATTACAGGCACGCGCCACCATGCCCAGCTAATTTTTGTATTTTTAGTAGAGACGTGGTTTCACCATGTTGACCAGGATGGTCTCGATCTCTTGACCTTGTGATCCACCCACCTCGGCCTCCCAAAGTGCTGGGATTACAGGCGTGAGCCACCGCGCCCAGCCAGCTTTTTTTTTTTTGAAATGCAGTGTTGCTCTGTTGCCCAGGCTGGAGTGCAGTGGTTCAATCTCAGCTCACTGCAATCTCTGCCTCCTGGGTTCAAGTGATTCTCCTGCCTCAGCCTCCCGAGTAGCTGGGATTACAGGCACGGGCCACCATGCCCAGCTAATTTTTTGTATTTTTAGTAGAGACGGGGTTTCACCATGTTGACCAGGATGGTCTCGATCTCTTGACCTTGTGATCCAACCGCCTCGGCCTCCCAAAGTGCTGGGATTACAGGCTTGAGCCACCGCGCCGGGCCTGGAGTCACATTCTAAATAAGTCCCAAAGAGAATTTACTTTCCTCTGATACTGTTTCTTCTCTATTTTCTCAGTTAATACCATCATCAACAGTTCCATTACCCAGAGAGTTATCTGACTTCTCCCAGTTCACCTCTCCAGGTGGTCCCCAAGGCCTGTGAAGGCTCTCTGTACAGTATCTTAAATTTGCTTCTTCTGTCCTTAACCCTCCCTACTGATTAAAAGTAGATCCAGAGTATCAGTCCCCATATCCCTAGCTTATGACTTACCATACTTATATTTACTACTATGATGATAACTGTCCTAATGAATGTGAAATGGTAGCTCATTGTGGCTTCTCTCTCAATTTCCCAAATTACTAGTGATGTTAAGCATTTTCTGTGCGCTTATTGGCCATTTGTATATCTTCTTTGGAGAAATGTCTATTCAAGTCCTTTGTCCATTTTAGGACTGGGCTCTTTGCTTTTTTGTTGAGTTGTAGGAGTTCTTTATGTATTCTGGATATTAATCTGTCGTCAGACACATGACTTGCAAATATTTTCTCCCATTCTGTGGGTCATCTTTTCACTCTCTTCATAGGGTCCTTTGATACACAAAAGCTTTTAATTTTGATGAAGTCAAATGTATCTATTTTTCCTTTTGTCGCCTGTGTTTCTGGTGTAATATGAAGAAATCATCATATCAAATCCAGTATCAGGAAGCTTTTCCCCTGTGTTTTCTTCTAAGAGTTTATAGCTTTAGCTCTTAGATTTAGATCTGTGATCCATTTTGAGTCAATTTCTGCATAAGGTATCAGGTAAGTGTATGTCATTGTTTTACATGTGGCTATCCAGTTTTTCCCAGCACTTTCTGTTGAAAAGTTTGTCCTTTCCCCATTGGATGGTATTGGTACCCTCATTGAAAATCAGTTGATCATATATGAGCGGGTGTGTTTCTGGGCTCTCAGTTCTTTACCATTGATGTATAGATCTGTCCTTATGCTTGTATCACACTGCTTGGATTAGTATGGCTCTGTAGTAAGTATTTTTTGTTGGTGGTTTTTTTTGTGTGTTTTTTTTAGACACAGTCTCGTTTTATCTCCCAGGCTGGCAGGCAGTGGCACAATCTCAGCTCACTGCAACCTCTACCTCCCAGGCTCAGGTGATCCTCCCACCTCAGCCTACTAAATAGCTGGGACTACAGGTGTGCACCACCATGTCTGACTAATTTTTGTATTTTTTTTGTAGAGACGGGGTTTCACTATGTTGCCTAGGCTGGTCTGAAACTCCTGGGCTGAAGTGATCTGCCTGTTTGGCCTCCCAAAGTGGTGGGATTGCAGGTGTGAGCCACTGGGAATGGAAATTAGTTCAGCCCCTGTGGAAACCAGTTTGGAGATTTCTCAGAGAACTTAAAAACAGAACTATCGTTTGACCCAGCAATCCCATTACTGAATATATACCTGAAGAAATATAAATAATTTTACCGTAAAGACACATGCATGCATATGTTCATCACTGCACTATTCACAGTAGCAAAGACATGGAATCAACCTAGATGCTCATCAGTGGACTGGATAAAGAAAATGTGGTACACAGATACCATGGAATACTATGCAGTCATAAAAATAATGAAATCATGTCCTTTGTAGCAATATAGCTGGAGCTAGAGGTCGTTATCCAAAGCAAATTAATATGGGAACAGAAAACCAAATATTGCTTGCTATCTCCTATAAGCGGGAGCCAAACACTGAGTACACGTGGACATGAAGTAGGGAATAACAGACACTGGGGCCTACTTGAGGGGAGGGGAGGGGGACTGAGAAACTACCTATTGGGAACTGTGCTCATTACATGGGTGGTGAAATCATCTGCACACCAAACCCCTGCCACACAGTTTGCCCATGTAACAAACCAGCACATGTACCTCCGAACGTACCATGGCAGTTAGGGAGAAAATATAAATAAAAGTGTTGGCACCTCCCCACTTGCCATCTCGCTCCTTCTCATCATGCGATGCTCCTGCTCTCCTTTCTCCTTCCATCATGATGTAAGCTCCCCGAAGCCCTCCCCACAAGCAGTGCCAGCACCATGGTTTCTGTGCAGCCTGCACAATGTCAGCGAATTAAACCTCTTTTCTTTATAAATTACCAGTTTCACCATGTTGGTAAGGCTGGTCTTGAACTCCTGACCTCGTGATCCACCCACCTTGGCCTCCCAAGTGCTGGGATTACAGGCGTGAGCCACGGCACCTGACCCAAATATTTATTTATAACAAAGCAAGAATGGCCAAATACATATGAATGTACCACTGTTTGTTAATCCATCTACTACTTGAAGGACATTTAAGTTGTTTCCAATTTGGTCAATTATGACTAAAGCCAGTATAAACATTTCTGTGCATCTAGGTTTTCTTTTCATTTGTGTAAATACCCAAGAGTGAGACTACCTTGTCAAATGGTAAGTGTATGTGCAATCTTATATTTAAAAAAATAAGAAGTAGAACTCTTCTTTTTTTTTTTTTTTGAGGTGGAGTTTCGCTCTTTTTGCCCAAGTTGGAGTGCAGTGGCGCAGTCTCGGCTCACTGCCACCTCTGCCTCCTGGGTTCAAGCGATTCTCCTGTCTTAGCCTCCCGAGTAGCTGGGATTAAAGGTGCCTGCCACCATGCTCAGCTAATTTTTGTATTTTTAGTAGAGACAGGGTTTCACCATGTTGGCCAGGCTGATCTCAAACTCCTGACTTCGTGATCTGCCTGCCTTGGCCTCCCACAGTGCTGAGATTACAGGCATGAGACACTGCTCCTGGCCTTTGTTTTTGTTTTTGTTTTTTGAGACAGGGTCTCACTGTTCCTCAGCCTTGAGTGCAGTGGTATGATCATGGCTCACTGCAGCCTCAACCTCCTGAGCTCAAGCAATCCTCCTACCTCAGCCTCCAGTAGGTGGTACTACAGGCACATGCCACCACACCCAATTAATTTTTTTTTTTTGAGACGGAGTTTCGCTCTTGTTATCCAGGCTGGAGTGCAATGGCGCGATGTCGGCTCACAGCAACCTCCGCTTCCTGGGTTCAGGCAATTCTCCTGCCTCAGCCTCCTGAGTAGCTGGGATTACAGGCATGCGCCACCATGCCCAGCTAATTTTTTGTATTTTTAGTATGAACGGGGTTTCACCATGTTGACCAGGATGGTCTCGATCTCTTGACCTCGTGATCCACCCGCCTCGGCCTCCCAAAGTGCTGGGATTACAGGCATGAGCCACTGCTCCCGGCCTAATTTTTGTATTTTTTTATAGAGACAGTTTTGCCATGGTGCCCAGGGTGGTCTCGAACTTCTGGGCTCAAGCAATCTGCCTGCCTCGGCCTCCCAAAGTGTTGGGATTACAGGCATGAGCCACCATGCCCAGCCTAGAACATATTTAATGTAAGAAAATGAGAAAACAGAAATGGTTTTTCTTATCTTATTATTATACTTCCTAGAAACAATAGCTGTTAATTTTTTGTTTCATAGCCTTCTAGATTTTTCTAGCCAAATTATTTTATATAACAGGCCCATACATCTAAACTGTGAAGTAGCCTTTTTAATTAAATTATATAACATGAGCATCTTTCCATGTCAACATATGTTGCTTCTGTTTTCCACTTTGTAGATGTGCCAAAATTTCTGTGGAAATACTTTTATAGCTAAATTTTTGTGTTCATCTTTTATTTCCTTGGGATAAATTCTAGAAGTAGAACTGCAGAGTCAAATGCAATGCAGCTTTTTTAGCCTATTGATATATGTTGTCAAAATGCCTATCGCTACACTTTCTGCCATGAATAAGAGTGCCCTTTTTCCTCTAACTCGTGTCTACACCGAGTGTTATCATCGAACACACACATGCTCACTTAATGTTGCCAGTTTGAAGGATGAAAAGTTATCTCCATATTTGTAAGCAACAGTGTATAAAGTGAAAGTTCCTGCTTTGTCATTCAATTCCGGATGTTAACTACTGTTAACCTCCTGTGGTTTTAATTGTTGACTGTTTCGCTTGTTTTGGGTTTGGTTTTTTGCTTGCTTGCTTTTTTAAGACGGCCAAGATCTATTAGTTGCTTGTTTTTACGTTTAGTGTCATGCTTTATCAAATCCTTTCTTGTGTCAATGTTATATATTCATCTATGTTATTTTCTGGTTTCGTTTTTTTAATTCACGTGCTAAGTTAATATCCAAATGTTTCATTCCTGTAAGTTTCAAAAACATTATAAAAGCAGAGGGAATATTTTAGTGAACTT